TATATATATTTATTTATTTATTTATTTATTTATTTATTTATTGAAAATGTTTTATAATTGATTATTATCAATTTATCAAATATATTTATTTCTTAGACGACTCAAAAAAATATAAAATATTCCACATGATCCATTTTGATGACGTAAAATGTATGACAAATTCAAACGTTTTAAATCTACTTAAAAGAGAGCATTATGTTCGATTCTCTCGAACTTTTTATTTTTTTATGACTCAATGAGTTGGCTATGATCCATGTTGACGTGCACAATTGTTATTGTTCATCCTTTACTTTTAGAATTACTAAAGTATGAAGTTTCATTCGTCGATCCACTTTAGAATATTTAAGTAAAACAATTGTTTAATTACTTGGAAACATTGTGAAAGCAATAGCCACGTCACCACTTTAATCCAGAATCCAAATATGGATAAACAAATATCATTCAAAGTCTATAGAAACGTGTCAAAGGGGATTGTATTTTGGTTCCTACTAATACATACCTAACTCAACATAAAAAAAATATTCCGAATGTTCAAACTTGTTTAGAAATTTATTATCAAATGTAATGTCGTTCATAAATTTAGTACATCTAATTGTTAATGATGGTTTATGTTCAAATATTCTGTTAAATATTTCGTATTGTAGTATCTATTGTATTTGTTCTTATTTAAAAAGGTGGCTAAAATAAAATCTTATGTAAAAACATTTTCAATAGTTTTTTAAATTAAAAAATATAATAAAAATAATTTAAATTAATTTCTTTTGTCATAATTAGAGCTGTCAATAAATCGAATTTTGATCCGAATCCAATTTGAATCCGAGAAAATTAATGAGAGATGGATTTAGGGTCTCACTCTGATAACCCAATCGAGATTCGAATCCAATAATTCATTAATCAAATGAATCAAATGTGAATATAGGTCGATCATATCCTATAACAACCCGATCCGATTTATCATAATAATATAGTATATTTTTTATATTATTGTATAATTTATGACACAGTTTTTTCCATTTTGAGAATTGTATTATACTTTACACGTAATTTTTACATAATAAATAATATTAAAATAATATAATAGATTTAATTTTTTTATTAATTATAATAAGATAAAAATAATAATTAATTTATTAATTAGATTCACTATAGTAATTTGTTTTATAACATAAAAAACTAACAATTAATATGTTCAAGATAATTTAATTTGTTTAAATTGATATTGTTTGTAATTAAAATCTTATTGAGGCTATGATTTTTAATGAAAATAATAAAGTAAACTAGGAAACACTAAGAATTGACAAATGATCATGATTAGTATCCCACATTGAAAGATTATTAAATCATTGGAAGAGGAGAATTCTTTAAAATGCTAGTATCCTACATTCGAATATCACTAAAACATGCCAACAAGAGTTTCCCTTAAAAATGAGTTAAAGAAGCATCACTTGGATTTAAAAAAAAAAAAATGATTTGTGGCTTTTAATATGATAAGTAAGCCCATTAAAATGGTTCAATTTTTTTTAAAAAAAATAATTAATTAAAATCTTGTTGAGGCTATGATTGTTAATGAAAAAATAATAATAATAATAATAATAATAATAATAAATAAATAAATATATATATTTCGGGTTATGATGTTAACGTGGGTTAATATTATTTCATAGGTATAGGTCGATGAATGAAATAAGTCCAACAACCAAATCTATGAGCTATACCTGGCCCAATTGTATTCTCTTATGGATGGCTTAAATTTTGGCCCGTTTACCCCTTTAATGGCCCAACTTAAAGCCTAAACCTAGAGTATATACATGGCTATAACCCTAGCCACTTTCTTATGATATATTGTGTGATTTTGAGAGAAGAAAAAGAGAATCCCGACTGCCCGCCTTTGTGTGAGAAAAAAAGGTCTCTAAAAGTGTCAA